GCTAGTATCACTCACACTTATTCAAGTGGCCCCAATAATTGTGGTAACGAGCTTATGCCTGGTCTTATTTCTGTCTTGTCATAAGTTCGTGTCTTAATGCCACTAAAGGTACGTCATGTGGAGAGGCTGTTGCACGTTAATACGCTCAAAGTGTTCAAGCTGGCGTGAGGCCGAAGTTTGGAGAGTAAGATTCCAGCTTAAATGCCGTCATTGTCATTTGATCTTGGTTCAAAATTACGACGTCCATTGCCGAGAGCGCACGTGTTTCTTCAATCCTACAATCAATCAATTTATCATTTTACTTTTGCTTTTAGACTCATTGTGATTAGTAGGTTTCCTGAAACTAAAAAATATTTAAATTGGTAATACTATGCTGCCATATATATAACAAAGGAATTGTATTTAGAAGATTAAGGGGACATGGTACGATTTACACAAAATTTTTTGATTTAATTATTTTCATAATTTGATTGGTTGCCTCCTATGTGTTTGTGTGAGATAAAACAGATTTCGTGCTTAAAATTTCATAAGAAGCTAACCATTTAATTTTTAAGGAAAAAACTTGAAACTTATTAAGTGATTTTAAAATGCTGCTCCTTCTACAAAAATTGACTTGCATATATGGAATTTGATTTACAAGTTCATCAAGCTATGTTTAATAAAAGTTGGCATGATTTTTGTGATAACATGATTGGTATTTGCCTATACTTCTTTTTATGAATGCTTATTGAAAATTCCTTAGAAATTGTGTAAATTCTAAATTCAATTATTTTTAAAAAAATAAGTATTGTTTTGATTGAAAAATGCATACCAACTTTTGTTCCATGTACTATTGGCAACAAGTGAAAAAAATTCCAAGTATTAGGTACAATAGAAAAAGAGCCTTAACATCTTAAATAAAGATAAACTAGCTATTTTATCTTTTTGAAATAAGTGAGTTTAAAGTTTTGATTTGCCATAGGCGTGTGAATAAAAACGAACGTAGAAGCTATCATAACTCTGCGTTTCTTAAACTTAGAGTTTTCAGATTTTGTGAGAGTATTAAAAAGTACATAAAAAAAATTTAGGCTAAGAAAATCAGGTTTGATTTTTTGACCAATTTTTTTCAACTGAATAGTACTGTGTCCCCTTAAAAGGAGAAAAATAGAAAGATTAGGTTTTGCAAATTGCAGCTCAAGTTAAATTTTAATTCTCAGGAATAGTCTCCGAAGAAAATGTTGTTTTCTAAATTAAAAACGTCTCTAAAATATTTTTTGATACAAAACCAATGAATTACTTTTCAAAGGGGAAAAGGGAATATTATTGCAAATGATGTCAAATAAAATTCGATGCGAACTCGAGATATTATATCAATTTAACACGAAAATCAGAAAGTTTAAAGAGCTTTGACTGACGTTTGATTATCCAGAAATCCCCTTTCCGTTGTCAATTTGTTCTATCCGGAGCTTGCAACACCGGATCCACAGCTCCGGTCCACTTGACACTCTAGAAAAACTCAAAATTCAATCAGTTACCTACCCATCTGGAGGTAACAATGCGAGTAAAATAAAGGAAAGAGAAACCAAAATAATAATACCGACTCCTTTAAAAAAGTTCCCTGTTAGTCAGAAGATAAGAAGAATGTGGAAGTTGAGAATAGGATGATAAAACATGTCGGAGAGATTTTTCTTTCCTTTGAGTAATGTCAGCTCAGAGTAATGATGGAATGCTTCTTGCGAGCAATGAAAAAATGGGAAATCAATAAGAGCTGGGGAACACGGCTCTCTCTCTTTAACCACGAGTAGTAATGTTAGAAGACCATGAGGTAATGTGTTCTTGTCTCTGGTGGTGAATTCTTTATCCTTTAATGGTTCACTGAAGAAAAAAGAACCTTTCTTATATAACCAAAATAAATCAGTCATTTTTTAATTGCCTAAGGAAAGTTATTTTTTTGTTCCCATGACCCGCCGTCTTGTAGTGACATATGATTGTGATTGCTCTATAAAGCTATCATAAAATTGGTTCTATTCATTGTTTTCTTTGCGAGGATAAAAACATATTTCAATTTATTAAATAATGAAAACACTTTTTTAATACCTACTATTAGTTCACACTCTTCTTATATATATTTATTTATATACAGGGTGTCCAGCTTTAATGTGACCCAATAGCTAATTCCCGAACCGTTCGGCTTAGACATGCACTTCCAATTTGAAAAATGTTTTAAAAAAAGGTAAGGAATGCTTTTACTTGCTTTTCGAACCAAAAAGCCTATTTAGTAAAAAATTACAAAAATTAAATTTTTATACGGTCCCCAGTCCTATTACTTATATTTAGGAAAAGATGCAGTTCACAAAAACAAAGTAAACACAAAAAGTTTCATTTTATTACGATAAAAACTGACTGAGTTATGCCTACATAAAATTGAAGCATCTGAATTTATCAGAAAAGGGGGTCGTATATACATTGAGTTTAGCGAACAGTAATTCACTATCTACAGAAAAAGCAAAAGAAAAACATCATAGTAATATTGAAACATCGTTTTAAACATCATAGATTGACAATTTGTATTGCTATATGGCAAACAATAAAAGTTAATTTAAAGAAATACAACTTGCACCGAAAAAATTAAAGCACCTTATTTTAACAAATAGCAGTAAAAGAATACAGGATTTGCGTTCAAATTATAGCATTATGTAGAATGATGCGTCAATCATGAATCAGGGGCTTTATTATATCAGAATGACCAAATTAACTTAAATATAATGTTCAAAATGACTGCCATCCGCAGAAATGCAGTATCGAACCCGCGTCAGAAACTCCGCCTGTAGCTTCTGCAACATAGTTGGTGTCACAGACCTGCATGTCATGCTGATTCGATTGAGTAAATCGGATTTACTCGTGGATTCACGTTCGTACACTTTGCTTTTTAGGAAGCCCCAGAGAAAGAAATCCAGAGGACTTAGGAAACTTCATCTTCTAAAAAATCGGCTAATGGTCCAGATAAAATTTCCGCGTATGATTCTGAGGTTAAAGGTCCATCGAAATACATTGGGTCAATTAAGGTGCTCTTCCATATTCCGCACCACACATTCACCGATCAATGCACTTGGAGGTGATTCGGTCGTATTAGATGTGGGTTTTCGAGGGACCAATAATGCGTATTCTGCGTATTAATAGTGCTTTGCCTCGAGAACTGGCATTCATCCGACCACAAAACTTCATTAAAAAAATCTGGATTTTCATCCAGTGTATTTAACACGAAATTGCAAAAATCAAAACGACGCTCCTGGTCTCCGGGCATTAGTTCCTGCGCCAGGACTGAACGATAAGGATATGCACGGTACGTATATAATATGTTCCACAACGTCGATTTTGAGTAGGAACAAGCCTTGCTAATATCCCGGACACTAGTTTCAGGATGAGCCAGGGCATATCCTAGAACATCCTCAGCGGGTATCCGCAAGCTTGAAGGTGTGGCACGAGACAAAAGAATATGTCTGTGACAACTTCCGGTTTTATACAAGCGTTGAACAGCACGGGCAATTGTACAATAAGATGAATGTCTTCGACTGGGAAATTTAATTGCATAAAGTCTTGCCGCCTCTCTCTTATTTCCATTACACTGAACATACAACAGTACCATTTCGTAGTATTCTTCATTTGTATACATCTCGTTCTCCCGTACTAGAATTCGTAATATTGCAATTGCTAGCGACTACACAAAATATTTTTAATAATCACCATGATCAGTACCGTAGCAAATAAGCCTATTTTTTTTTTTTTTTGGAACTGCTTTTGAAATGTTTTCTTCGTCCAAAATATTTTATTTTGTCTATATTTTACACGTACAGAATAAATTTTATTTCTTAAGTACTCAATTATTGAATTATTAACGTAATGTATGTACTTTTAAATTTAAAAACGATTTACATAAGAGTGACGTGCAAGAGGGAAAGTTTCCTGGCAGTGTTCCAATTAATTTCACTTTGGAGACGGCCCCTAACTAGCTTCTTGAAAACGGCCGGGAAAATTGAGGAAATATACGATTTTTAAAGTTCCATATCTCAGCCAGTTTTTATCGTAATAAAATGAAATTTTTTGTGTTTACTTTGATTTTATGTACTGGCTTCTTTTCCTAAATATAAGTGATAGGACCTGGGAACCGTATAAAAATTAATTTTTGTATTTATTTTTCTAATTACTCTTTTAGGTACGAAAAGCACGTAAAACATTCCTTACCTTTTTAAAACATTTTTCAAATTGGAAGTACATGTCTAAACCGAACGGTTCGGGAATTAGCTGTTGGGTCACATTAAGGCTGGACACCCTGTATATATATATATATATATATCTTGTTCAAATTTTCAATCGTTAATAAAGCACTCTTTATTCAACCACTCAAGTTCATATACATTTTACAAAAAATTGTAGTGGATGACACTTGATGTTAATACAGTTTTTTTCAAATATTAATTAATTAATTTTTTAATTAGTGAATTAATAGTAAGAAGCAAAAATAATAGTCCAACACCATTTATCAGGGCTTCTCAAACTTTAAATATTTGCGACTCAATTTTCAATCATGGTTTTCATCGCGCCTCCTCCTTACAATAACAATGGATTGAATTCAATAATAATTATGTATTTTTACGAAAAGTTACAATACGATTTTAATGATAAACTGTACAAATGATCAAGATAAGTATTAAAACTTGGCTTCTTGGGAGTCACTATTAATTATTAATCTTGATTTTTAATCCTAACTTAGAATTGATAAATTATCAAATACATTGTGCAGTACTAATGCATTTATCTCAGTATAAATGTATATTTTATTTTTGTTATGTCAGAATGTATTTGTTTTGCTTTCTTTCAGTAAATTTGCCATTTTTTAAACCTTTCATTTTCCACTTTTCGACATGCTCGTGCCCCCACGCAGGGTTATCACACTCCCTAGGGAAATGCGCCCTACAGTTTGAGAAATGCTGCCATATATAAAAAGGAAAATTCCTCGTCGTGTCCCTGCAGCGCAATGGATAGCGCGTTGGACTTCTAATCCAAAGTCGTGGGTTCAATTACCTCCAGGGATGGCCTAATTTCTGAGAATGGGATTTCTTTTTTACTATACTATTTTATTAGAATAATTAAATTTAATTATTGCATATAGTAGAAACAAACAAATATATAATAGTCCAACACCATACATAGAAAGGAAATTGGAAAATTGCAAGAAAATCGCGCTTTCTATTTTGTCATTTAATATTGTGATTCTGTCATGTGTATATACATGTCTATATTAATAGTAATTATTTAATAAAAAGTAACTAAAATGAAACTTTTCTTTGTTGATCTAGTAGGAATTGATTTCAAAAAGCTTTTTTTATATTACTTGTTGTTAATTATTTTATTGGCAGATTTATATTATTTCAGAGGATTTTTTTTCCGAAAATGCCTTTGCCACAAATTTTGATGCCCTCGAACTTAGCAATAAGAGAATATCATAGAGAAAAGGATTTCATCGAAATAAAATAGTAAAATAAATTTTAGAAAATATTTTTCTAAATTTGTTTTAAAGTAAAATTTGCATTTACCAAAATTGTATGATTTCTGAAATCAAATAACTTGCAAGAAGAATCGGAATCGCTTCACATATTTAAATAATTTTTTCTTTCATTATTTATTGAGATAACGTAACTTCTACTGAATGTATTAGTAATTTTGTAGACTTTACATTATAATTAATCTCTGGTTTCTAAGATTTCCAAGCAGAATCTTGTGTCTTGTATGTAACCTGCATCGCGTTTTTAAAAAATTTCTTAATGGGGGTGGGGGAGTAAGAATAATAACTTTAGAAACAAGTACGTATATTCCATTCCAGTGTACAACGCGCATTTTAAATACAAAAAACAAGATCGAAATTTACGGGTACGTGTTATATACGGTGCTATTGAAAAAAAGATGGCTTTAAAAATATTAAAATACAACACACAAAAAGTATATAAATAAAAGCTTTAACTTTAAAGGGAATAAGTAGCCTAAAGATGTAAAAATATTAAAGGATAATTATTAGTTTTACATCAAAAGGAAATAAGGCCGTCCTTAAAAATAAACTTTGAAAAATCGAGAGAAAAAATGCAAGAATATTGAATAGATTATTTTTAATTTTCATCTATATTTTAAGAAATTTCAAACTAACTTTTATACACTTTGAGTCAACTGAGAACTTGCATACTTCGATATATAATACATGTATTGTAAAATGCGTTTAACGCGAAAACGTTTTAGTCGAAATATCGGTTTACACAAAATAATACAGCGGTCCCGACAAACTATGTATTTTCATAAATTTTTTCCTTTTAACATGAAACGAAAATCACTTAACACGGAACACCTTTTAAAAATTTTTTTTTTAGAATTAACATAATACAGAAAACACCAGCCGGATTAGACTGTCCTACTGTATCATCGGAAGAATTCGTTGCAGTAGATGATGCCAATGTGTGTACAGTCCCAATTATGGGAAAAAAGACATTTTGGAGTTTGTTCAAAGCTAAAAAAATATCATTGATGCAGATTTTGACGACGAGAATAAAATGAATAATCTAGTTGCTGTTCCTACATCATCCTAAATGAGGAACATCAGGAAAAGTATGCGCAGGTGCTTAGACGCAGATTCCAAATGTGAAATGAATAACAAAATAGGTGGCATCGAGCAATTTGTTGACAATTTGATGCTAAAAAAGACAATACAAAAACATGTCAGATCACATTTTCCAAAAACTCAATAAAGGTTTTGTTTTTCCAAAGCTTCGAAAATTTTGCATTAAATTTCATTGTGAATGTTTTTGTTTCATTGATTTTTATTAAATACATGCATATATCTATATCTAAAGTAAATAAAATGTACTTTAATAAACTCTTGATTTTGTTGGAAAAATAGAATTATTTTTGCGATATCCTTTAACACGAAACACTTTTAACACGAAAAAATATTTCTGTTTCCTCAGTTTTGTGTCAAGCGATTTTCCCTGTATATATATATACAAACATATACTTTTATTCTACGATTACATTGTGGCCTACTCATATATACCGTGTTATTATTTCCATCAGATTTTACCAATGAAAATGTATATTAAAGAAACCAATACGGCGATCGGTTTTCAATGCAGGAAAGGTTTTTCAAGCTTGAGTAAACTAAAATGGATTAGTTTATTTGCTCTTTGTCATTGAGTTTTCTTTATTACCTTCCTTTTCTGATGCCCAAACAGCCATTTTCTGCTTCAGTCAATAGAGGCAAGAGACTCTACAAGCCATACAGTGAGTGTTCTTAGTGCATTTAAGGTTCCGATATAAACGAACATCTGAGTTGTACTATTTGCTTCGTCTTGAAAATGCCTCGAGCGTGTTTGGAATTGCGTTTTTGTCATCGTACCCAACTTGAAATAACGTTTTGCTGCCCCAGGCGATTCGTATAAGCCGCGGAATAGCAAACATAACTTAACAAAAACGACCGTGGACAAAATGGGAGAAGTTTTGCGGTTCTGTTCAAATAAAGGTGTAATTCATCACAGAAAATATAAAATTTCATAAATGTTGAATAGATTTGATTAATAAGTGTGGTGAAGAGCATAAAAAGTTAAATAAATAATATGCATCGTAATTAATACAAAATAAATATGGATTATCGACAATTCTGTTCATTGCCCATTCATGCACGAATATTTTGGAAGATATTTCTTCAGGAAGAAAATAATAATACTTTAATTTGTAGTGCTTGATTTTAAAATGCTCGAATACTTACCTTATTTCAAATGGTAAAATGAAATAATTAAATAAATGTTTTATAAAAAAGATATGATGAATACATTTATAACACGGTTTTAGCTATGTTGCACGCGTGTATAAAAGTGAGTATTCAAAGTGAACACATTCAAAATGTTGAGTAAATTATTTTAAGATACGAATTTAATTTACCGTATAATACGGCATATAACGCACACTTTCAACACAAAAAATAAGTTCGAAATTTGTGGGTGCATGTTATACGCCGGATATAAAAATGATAACTTAAAAAAACGAGGATTGTAAAATTAGACTTCTAAATACGAGGGCTGTTTTTTAAGTAAAAAATGTCCGTTTGTTTTTTAAAAAATAACAACAATATTTTGTTTAAAAAACCTTTATTTTAGGATTGTACATACATTTGCCTATTTTTCTACATATTTTCCGAGTTTATGAATGCACTTGTCATACCTTAGAACTAAGTTTTGAAAATCCTCTTCAGCCACCTGGTCGGACAGCCAAGAGTTCACGGCCGCTTTCACTTCTTAACGGCGTGGGATGTTGTAAAAAGGTGTTTTGCTTCTCGACGATAACTCAAGGCTTCACACTTCTCGAACGCTTCGGGACTAATCGAATCTTTTGGCTGGGAGGTTTAGGGCCACTCACCATACAGCCCCGACTATGCTCCTCTAACGATTTCCACCTGTTCCGGTACCACAAACACAGTCTTGGTGGAAAGTGCTTCAGTGACAACGAAGAAGTGAAAGCGGGCGTTAACTCTTGGCTGTCCGACCTGGCGGCAGACTTCTTTGAAGAGGATTTTCAAAACTTAGTTCTAAGGTATGACAAGTGCATTAATAAACTCGCCAACTATATTTAAAAATAGGCAAAAGTACTTACAATCCTAAAATAAAGGTTTTTTGAAACAAAATATTGTTGTTATTTTTTAAAAACGAAAGGACCTTTTATTTAAAAAACAGTCCTCGTATTTCGAAATATTGTTTGTGTTTAAAAGAGATGACATACCTTATGAACTTTAAGTGCTGTAATTTTGGAAGTACACTATACTTTCAAAAGCCTTGGATAGTACCTCGAATAAATTACTTCAAAACATTTGAGCATTGCACGCTTTCATTTTGGGTTTTTTCATAAAAAAAGGATGTGCGTTATACGGCCTAGAGGTGTTAACCAGTTTGGCATTTTATTACTCAGCACTACAGTGATGCCTAAAAAATAAAATAAACTTTTTTTAAAGAAACTAAATAACTTTTAAGTGAAGACGTATTATTGTGACAATGAAGGTAAAAATTTGGAGATATTGGTGAAAATTAAAAATTATTTTTTCATTCAATGAGAGAGAAGATGGATTTTGACGTATAAACTCATTTTGTCTCCATATTTTTGCTTCCCCTTCTTATTAAAAAAAATGTGTAGCACATTGAAGATAATAAAATAATACAAAGTGAATACAGTACAAAGAAAAACCTTTTAACCATAACATTCTGCGGGTATAATTTAAGACCTTTTGATAAAATAAGCCTTAAAAGTAGTACTTGATTCTTTGTATGTGTATTTCGAACAAGTACAAGCAAATGCTTTATATTTTCAATAGTTTTGTGTTTTCAAAGACATGCAGACTGCAAATTTTTCTCCTTGATGTGTTTTTTATTTCCAGTTTTTGATTCCTCGAATTCGAAAGTTTAGTTTACCACACTGCGTTTACATCAAAGCATACTGTTTGAAATGAAATATAAGATTTTAGAAGGATACGAAGAATTTCAAAATCTTTAGTATTTTGATACCTTACAAACTTTTCAAATGGAGGAAAATTTTCTGGATTTCAAGAATTAAAAATAAAAATCTTATATACATAAATTTAATATTTTCAAAGAAAACGGGGGAAAAGCAACTTGTTTCGTGGTTATTGACTTATTTTCTGCGGTAAACAGCTCTCTTGATGTCAAAAAAAGGGTATAACTCGAAACCCATGGATAAAACTTGCTAATTTCTATGATCTCAAATTTTCGATGCTCTACAATAAAAAGCTTTATTTTTTTATAAAAAGAGAAACGTGTTTTTCTTGGATCCGAAGGCCTGTCATGTTATTTCTTAGAATTCGCATTAAATTAGGCATACTCTTGAAAATATTCGACATAAATTGATTCGAATAATTTTTTTTCTCCTCAAAGTTGAAAGTCAAGTCATATAATGTTACGGAACTCTTCGGAGAAGGGAAACTTTTCAATACTCTTGAACCATATATTCAATACCTATATTGAATTTACATATTGTAGTTTAATAATGA